CATCTGGATCTACGTACAATTCTAGAAGCTCTGAGGTCAGAGAAACCACATATTGGTTTTAGCGTACTGCTATTGCCTTGGATATTTTCCAACTAACTGCACAGCAGGCACTTTAAAACACATAAATTATATCTGCACAAATTCCTGGTTCTGACTCTGGGTTGAGTGAAGAAATTAATTCTGGGTTACGCTAAGTGGACAGTTGCTTTCTGAAGTCTGCAGTTTAGTGCATTTTGCACATTGCGCAATGCACAAACACTCCACAGGAATCCAGTCTGGAAAAAGTCTTGCCAGGATGTTGATTTGGGGTTGTTACGGTGTTTTTTGATGGGTTGCTATGCGGTTGCTAGGGTATTCTGGGTGGTTGGTTGCTTACGGGCTGGAGTTGTTTTGTTGTATTGTTCACCAAGTCAAAATCATATGACCGATGGCTTAGAAAATTCAAAGCAATTCTAAATTCTTTTACTGCTCTGAAATGAGGTATAATGGATTAGAGGTTATGAAGTAACTGCTCATTATGCACTCTCATAAACAAACAGTGCATCACCTCCTCAAGTGTGCTGCCATCTACTGGTTTCATGGAGATCCTGCATTCATCTAAATCCCATCCCCAATGTCTCTTTGCCATAAATCTAAATCTGTTGAATGCTTTTAATTAGAGTAGGAGTGGAAGCCAATTAAAGTTTGTGTGTAGTGCATGTGTTTGCTTCTTTTTATCAAGTGCAGACACATGATAACACTTATGAAATTACCTCTTTGGATAGTCCCATATGCACAAACAAAAAATTAGCAGGTCAGATGTCAAAAGATGTTTTCCATTTTTTTATTACTTTGTTTGACATGACAACCCTGCACACAGGGAGAAATATCGGATCAGGCCACACAATGCATAAACAGATGTTGAGAAAAAACAAGAACCAGGTCAAGAATAAAATCATTTTAAAAAGATATCTGTTGTTACAAAATATCATTGAACTAGATTTTTTTAAGACTTTAGAAATATTGCCTGGATTAAAAAGGTTTGACAATAAACCCAGCCTCCCTTAAAGGGATAGTTCACCCCAAAATGAAAATTCTCATTACTCACCCTCATGTTGTTCCAAATCCATAAGACCTTTGTTCATCTTTGGAACACAAATTAGTATATTTTTGATGAAATCTGAGAGCTTTCTGACCCTGCATTGACAGCAACACAACTGACACATTCAAGGCCCAGTAAGGTAGTAAGGACATCGTAATTTTAAGAAGCTACAAGAATACTTTTTGTGCACAAAGAAAACAACATTTTCTCTTCTGTGTCAGTCTTCGAAACGCATTCACGAGAGTACCATGCATGTGGCACTGCTGATGCAGGAGCCGGCGTTCTGACGTAGAACCCGGATGCTCTGCACCTTGTTTACAAGCAGAGGAATGCACACACATGCGTTGTAAGGAATGTGCATCAAAGACTGACACAGAAGAGAAGGAATTGTTGAATAAAGTCTTTATTTTTTGTTTTCTTTGCACACAAAACGTATTCTTGTAGCTTCATAAAATTAAGGTTGAATCACAGATGTCACATGGACTATTTTGACTGTCTTTACTACCTTTCTGGGCCTTGAACGTGGTAGTTGCGTTGCTGTCTATGCAAGGACAGAAAGCTCTCAGATGTCTTTAAAATGATCTGAATTTGTGTTCCGAAGATGAACAAAGTTCTTACGGGTTTGGAACAACATGAGGGTGAGTAAATAATGACAGAATTGTCATTTTTTGGTGAACTATCCCTTTAAATTCCTTCATCGTTTAACTCTTTGTGCTGTGCTGAAACTCCTTTACCTAATAATAAATTATGCAATATTATCACCAAATTTTGGATTCAATCTTTTTGTCAGCTTGTCTTTCTTCAGTTACCACAGGTTTTGTTTTTCTTTTTGGAACTGATTGATTGCAGGCCTCATTTATTTGAGCTGATACACCTCAGCTTTTTAGTACAAAAAATTGACACATATTTTTTTGTGATAATTTTACCAGCGTTCACTCAAAAATGAGGTGCAGGTGCTTGATCAAAGAGGCCTACGAACAATCAGTTCCAAAAAGAAAAAAACAAAACCGTGCTAATTGAAAGAAAGCAAGTTGACACAGAAATTATAGGCCCTATACATGATAATAGGTATATCATTATGGTGGTTTTACAAGCAATGTTTTGGCCATTTTTGACCAGGAACACTACAACAAGGTGGGAAAGAAATCCTAAAGTATAAAAGTATCCATATTTGTCATACATTGTGTGAGCAAAGTAAGTAAGTTAACGCATTTTCAGGAAAAAGAAAACCCTCTTTGGTTCAAAATGACTGGAACATGACATGAGAGTAAATTCTAAAAATATTTTTATAAAAATATTCTATAGAGATGTAAAAGTATTTGCAAGCCCTATTTTGAAGAGGCTAAGTCACAATCTACGTTTCCACATCTTCCTCACTGCCAGAGCTCCAGTTGTCTTGACCTGTTAGTGGGTGGAGTTGATGAGTAGTATGAACAGGTAAAGGTGTGCGTGAGTGCGCTCTCATCTACTATCTACTCACTGTCGGACCCCTCAAAACATTTTGCAACACAGTTGTTGTGGACTTAACACGAAATACTAGCCTGCATAATGCTCAAGAAAACGCAAAGCTCGGCCGACGTGGACGCGTCGCGCATTCTTGTGAAGGGGCCCGAGTTTTTGAGGAGACAGATGGAGCGAGAACGCGAGGCGAATAAAGGACGCGTCAGTGCGGTGGAGAGGTTGGCAGCCACTAAACCTCAATATGTAAAAAGCCAACAAGTGGTCGGTTCCACTCAGGAACCGGTTATCAGCATTGGGTCTGCCTCCGTGAGCAGCCAAGGGTCTTTAAACGGACACGGTTCCGTTAATAACACCGCCAATGTTGATGTTGAGGATACACAGTCGCCTGAAGAAGATAGTAATGTGGTGAGACGGATCAGCTCGAAGAAACGAGACTCGATTTTACTATACAGACAAAAGTGTGAACTCTTAAGAGGATCGCCTGGCGGGAGTAGGAGATTGATTAAAAAGTCGCTATTCGCTATTAAAGACAAGACAAACGCGTTTTCGGAGGCGCGCGGTGGTGAATGCGCCACACGTAAAGCCACTCGGGTAACTTTACCCATCTCAAACGGGCACTCAGGTGAGACAAACGGTGACCCGAAAGGACCTCCTCACAGGAAAGTCACTGAAACCCAGGAGCAGGAGCGCAGGAGCCGCAGGGGGGTGGCGCGCTCCAGCTCTGACATCAGCTCGCGCTACTCAAAAAACTTCGCGGACTTCGACGCGTTCTTCAAATACTGCGGGCTCGAGGGTGACGTCATCAATTCCCTGGGAAGAGAGAACTTCTCCGCGCGCTCAGAAGACCTCAGCTCCAAAATCCGGAGCATCAGTGTCTCGACTTCAGATGACGGGTTCTCGAGGAGCAGCGACGGCCTGCAGGAGGAGGCGCTGCAAGAGACTGTGCGTCAGGGGTCGTCAGTGGTCGAGCGCAACGCTCGGATCATCAAGTGGCTTTACAGTTGCAGAAATGCGGCGGAGTCGGGAAAGACTCTTCGAGATCTGGATTAATTTGGGTCATGCTAAAAGGTCATGCTAAAAGCGCTGGGGCAAGTTCAAGCTCAAACCGGTGTGCACCGTTTTGCTACGGTTTCCGTTTTGAACAACATGTTTCCTGGAAACGGTGTGCAACAGGGTTTGAGATGCGTTTTCTCTTGTTTGGTGGGTGTGTCAAACATGTCAGCCCATTCGAGATATATCCAGCTGCAGCCCCGCAGCCCCACACGTTTCAGGACACACAATCCAGACCACACGATCCAGGCCGGAAGTAAGGCGAACCATATATTGTTAACGGTGGATCTGTCGCAGGTTTGTAGTGCAATTTTCTTTTGTTAGATGTAATATGAGCTATCCCAAGAATTTTGATAGGATTTACAATATTTAATAATACACAAAATACAAAAAAATTATATTGTTTTTTTTAAAAAATTTTTATTGATATTCATTTTGATCAATCTAGTAAACCCTAACATTTTTTTTGACTGTAGGTTATGATGAGATATTTAGGTCATGTTTGTTTTGTAACAAATACTTAAAGACACAGAGAATGGACGTTTGATGTCAAGAATACTTTTTATTTTAAAATTCAAATTGAACATGGAAAAAGTGCAACATACTAATAAAAAAAAAATTTCAACAACCAAAAATAGAACTAAAATTAAAATTTAGAAATGTAATTGTAATCTAAAAAACAAAACAAAACAAAAAAAGCTTTTGAAAGTCTTATACTTTTCACTCTTCAAAAGAAGAATTCAATTTTAATCCCATTTTTTCATGGCATTCAACTAAAAAAATCTCCATGTCTTCCCTGAATGAAAAATTAAATGTGAATGGGTCTCTGCAGTCTTCCACATCTTTGATGAGATTTTGGAGGGTCTTTTCCTTGTCATCCTCTTCCATTCTGAGGAAAAGAGGCTCTTCCACAGGGCCCCTGAACACATGTCTATTGGCATGTATCCATTTTACAGCCAGTTTCATGTGTTTGATTATATTCATCCTGAAAGGCGAGGCAAATGTTGGATGACGATAATTAGGAACCACAGTTTCCACAAATCCTTTCATTTGATTGGGATGTTCTCTTTTATTCTGGATGGCAAGGGCAATGACTGTACCATCGAGCGTATTTTGCAGTATTAAACACGTATTTATACCGATTTCATCAGGCTCCGAAAATTCTTCAAAAAGAACACAAAGAATGGCCTTCTCAGCTGCCATAGTTGCAACTCTTGCGTCATCAGAACAGGGTGTTCAACGCACCACCGTTTCCGTTTAAAAAACGTTTTGCACCGTTTTTGTTGGGGCTGAACGCAGCCCTGGTTTTGCCAGTATCACGCATAAAATGACCTGGCTACTTTATATGAGATAGCAAACGTGCGTCTGCAAGATGTCTGTTAAAGATCGCTTGATCTGGAAAGCATCTGCTGTGTACAAACATCTGACAGACGTCTGTAAGATGTCAGTTTTACATACATTCTAAATCAAAAACATCTTGAAGACATCTAATAAACGTCTATTTGCCATCTGATAGATGTCATATTGCAGATGAGCAAACACTCTAAAATACGTCTTGCAGATGTAAATGCAGATGTCAAATAGATGTCTCTGTGATGTAGGCTACGTGTGCTGTGATCCCTTGACTCTGTAAACATCTTCGTATTTAGCCAATCAGGGACGCTCTCTGCCTGACTGAGTTGGCTGACATGTTCATCACATATTCAACTAACTGGCTAATTCACCAATTTCTTATGAGGTTTTAGAATGGTGGTTTAAGATTTGTGAGTAGGTCTGTGGTTAATATTTTGTTGTACAAATGTATACCTTACACCTGAAAGCATCTGTAACAAATTGCTATTTAGGGACAACAACAATTTCGTCAAGCACATACACGTCCTTGTGGTAGTTTTAGTCTTTATTTAGCAGCTTGTTAGTGTGTAATTTATGCTGACATTAATATTTCTTAAGGGAACGCTAAGTACAGACCGTATTTTACTCATAAATCCAAAACCGCCATTCTAAAAACCCATAGGAAATTCCAAAGAGAACACATGGTTGAAAAATGGCTAATTATCTGGCTGGTTTTAGGACCTCAAACTGCTGTATTGGTTTAGCTGTTTTGGTTAAGCCTTTTGTACATGCCAGTACTTGATCCTGGTTACGTATTCCAGATATCATGTTACTTGATTTTGTAATATAATAAAAATCTGATTTGTTTTTTTTTAGAAAAGAATTTCAGTTGCAATTTATTTCGGTAGTGTTATGTGAAAACCAACTTTGCACATGAATATATGGATACAGTATAGTTTACAGAGACAAATGACGTTCAAGCCAAACAGGCCATCAAGCCTGTCAGCTATGGAATGCAGAGGGTAGCACCAAGCACTTCTGTCCATTGTTGTGCAACAACGGAAACGGTGAACAAAAAGCAAGTACATTCACACCCAATGTGGGTGTATTTAATTTGTGCCACTGTCACTTTAGTTCAAAGATTAGGTGTCTGTTTATTCCGTCTGACTGCTGACTGTCTAGTAATATCTTCCCTGACTCAATATGCCTTGCAAATATGAAATGGTATTTTAAGTAACTTGATAAAGTGTATGCATTGTTGAGTTAAACAACCTGACACGCTATGCAAAAATGCTATTTATGATCAAAACATTTTCTTACCTTTCTAGCACTGTTACCGTTATCTAAGAGTGTATGCAGTTTACATTAGTATTTGTAAATCTGTTGGGTTATAGCTCTTGTATTTTTAAATATATTTCAAGAAGTATATATTGGCACAAGTATTTTAATGACCATAAATGCATATTTATAGTGAAAAAACAACACAGGTTTTACAGATGTTACTTAACTGAACCCAGTGCTTCTTTTCATCATTCTGCACATGACTGAAGATTTGGCAACTGGCTTTTTTTTTCTTTACCCATTGTACGCAGTGTTTTCACACGCACACAAAAACTTACCCCTCTGGCCTCTCACATGCAGACTGTGGCAGGTTAGATCTTGCAGAGGGAGTGTTTGTGGCCTTTACACTACTTTAAATAATTTTTGGAAATGCAAGGTTTTTTGGCTTCCAGCTATGGACACATGTCAGAATTATTCTAATTTTTGCTTTACATATACAAACTGACAAGTTTTTCTAAACACGTCAAAAACAAAAGAGCAGCATGTATGACTGTTGTTGGCATTTGTCTCTTTTACAAAAATTATGAAGTAAGAAACATTTTAGCTGATGTCCATTCTATTCAGATGGTAAAAATTTAAAAATTATTCAGGGGTCATGAAGCCTTACTGGAACATAATAATTTATTGGCACTACACACACACACACATAAGTTACTTGCTATGTTCACAAATGCTTCTAAGCATTTATGTGCACAGTATGTAATTTTCTGCTTGGCTTTCTCACTGGTTCAAATGGCATGACTTCTAATACCCTGCAGCCTGGTGTAGACTTTCATCTAGGTGGGGCTTTACCTGACACAAATATGAGTCAAATGTCACATAAGGACCCTCCACCTGTTCCAAACTCATATGAGTTTCTTTCTTCTGTTGAACACAAAAGAAGATATTTTGAAGAATGTTGGTAACCAGACAGTTGACGGCAGCCATTGACTTCCATAGTATGAAAAAAAAAATACTATAAAAGTCAATGGGGACCTGTTTGGTCAACTGTTTGGTTACCGACATTCCTTAAAACAGCTTCTTTTGTGTTCAACAGATACAGGTTTGGAAGAAATTGAGGTAAATTTCTGTAAATTGAGTAAATGACGACAGAATTTTTCTGAATTTTTGGGTGAACTAGGCCTATCTATTCTAAGTCAAATGACCAAATAGTTGTTTTCTGTAGCAGATAGCTAGACACCTAGCTAGGAAATTGTTTTGAATAGTGTCCTTCATATAAACATAAAACCTATATCCAATATTGTCATATTTGGTAATAACTGTTGAGTGAACACAATGAAACCACACTGACACACATTCAGATAAAGGTTAACTATACAGTATAATAAAGACAGGTTTTAGTTTAACTGTTTTTAGTTTTTAGACAGGTTTTAGTTTAACAAACTTCATCTTATGTACTTCATCAATGCACACAAAATAGTTAATAAAATAAACTAAAAACTCACATATAAATATAATATTCAAAATACAATATTACGTAATAAGTATTAAAATGCAATATAATACAATTGTATAACTGCGATAAAATACAAGAATACATTAGAAATAAGACATGATTAAAATTAAGAATGTACATCTTAAAATTTTCTAGCTGCTGTTCATTGTCTTCTTGTTGTTGTTGTTGTTGTTGTTTTTTTTATAATTTGGTTTTTATCTCACAAAGCTTTACTCACGGCTGGCTGAGGGGATTTGCAAATAAACCTATTTATTCCTTCCATCTAAAACCAAGCAGTGAAATGTTTACTTCAGTTTATTCCATCGTTCATTCTCTCCATTTCCCTTCCCCAACATGATTAAAATTAAGAATGTACATCTTAAAATTTTCTAGCTGCTGTTCATTGTCTTGTTGTTGTTGTTGTTGTTGTTGTTTTTTTTATAATTTGGTTTTTATCTCACAAAGCTTTACTCACGGCTGGCTGAGGGGATTTGCAAATAAACCTATTTATTCCTTCCATCTAAAACCAAGCAGTGAAATGTTTACTTCATTTTATTCCATCGTTCATTCTCTCCATTTCCCTTCCCCCATCACAAAATCAAAACATGACAACATGTGCAGCGTCTGTGTCACGTGTAAGAAACTGCAGCGGCAGAGAGCTCGGAATAAATCGGTCAGTGATCGACAGGGCCGAGAACCAATCAGCTTGGGAATTCCGGGTAGCAACACAATAAATACAAACACGGCGGCCAATCACAAACGATGAGAGGCGTGGATTACATTCCGCTTTTCTGAATGTTTACTTCCGTCAATATTCAAAGAAAAGCAGAAAATTATCACCATAACAAAGGACTCGCTGTAAGTAAAGTTAAATATACGTTTATTATGAATACAAATACAGGATTTTGCGAGTAAAACAACGATAGAGGTAGAGATTTGAGCTGTCTTTAGTGTTTTGTCGACGCTTAAAAAGATAAGGTTCTTGGCAGGGTTTGCATTTGAGCAAATTTATTGTCAGTAGTTGTTCAAGGAGCCAGAATCTCATCTACAATTTACAAATTAACATCAAAATGCGTTTTTGCATTTTTGTTTTTACAAAGATAATGTTTTACATCAAGAGTGTGAAATAAGGCTCTTAAACCTTGAATGACTGTTATTGTGTGTTGTCTGATCAGATCAGGATGATATTGTTTCATCACGTGATATGTGACAAGCCTTTGTTGAGTTATAATGGTTTGAGATAAGAGTCTCTTGTATTCAGATCTCTGCAGCAGGTGGAAGAAGATGCCGTTCTTGGGCCAAGACTGGAGATCACCAGGCTGGAGCTGGATCAAAACTGAGGATGGCTGGAAACGCTTTGAATATTTCAACCACAAACTGGGAGACAACATAAATGAACTTTCCTTGGAAGAGTAAGAAATATTTCAGTGTAATGTAGTGACAGTTCTAGGGTGATAGTTTTGGGGTTCAAACCTACAACCTTTCAGTTACCACCTCCGACCTTTAACCACAAGGCTGCACCACCTCAGAAAAGCATTGAGGAACAGTCTAAAAAGGAAGTGTGTATGTGGCATGTGGGAAGTCAGATATCCGTGTTTAGACCTAGTGTGTGTTATTTTCACCGTCTGTGGTTATTGTCTGGAGTAGCGTAGAATAATAGCCAGCTGTGAACTGGTTTTGAATGCATTCAGACAATGATACACTGACTGAGCTAAAAACACCTTAGTCTGACCATGCTGTCATGGAAACAAGCCTGAGGTCGGTCAGACAGACTACGAGGAAACGTGAACATTTGAAACCGTCTGGATGTGTGAAGATGCAAGTAGGTGTTTGGATAGTTTTAGTGTACCTCTGCATCACATGTGATCTCTGTGTTAAATTTCACTAGACAATAGAGCGCACACTCACCTGTGTAAGCTAAAGCGTTTTCAGATCTTCAGAACTCGTTTAGCAATACTTGGATTAATAATTAAAAAGAACTTGCATTGGTTTGTTTATTTGCACTACTGTAGGTTTTATTGGATTTTGTGTCTAGTTTATGTGTACTAGTTAGTGCTCCTAGCAGATAACAGTCTAAATTGCATGCTTGCCATCTGTTTATCACTCGACCATACTTTTTGTAGGTCACTCTGAATGATATGGCTTAAAAGGAAATGTAATGTCTAAAGCGTATTTTGTTATAGTCATAATAAACTTTACCTTACTAACTTTACAGATTGGACAATGACAAGGAGAATGTCTACGTGGGAGATGTCTGTGAAGTAGCTGCCAAGAAGAGAAAAAAAGACTTCTTCAACAACAACACTAAGTCACAGTGTAAAAAATTATATAATATTTTATTACATCACACTTAATTATCAAAACAATAGTTTTCTTTAGATAGTGGTCCATTATACAGTTTAGTGTTCATTATACAAAAATATATGACCATAGAATGCTACAAGTGTCCAATCAGAATCAAGTTTTCTAGAGAGCTGTGAAATGATTACTAGTTTACTCTTTTTTTTTTTTTTTTTTGTTTTTTTTTTTTTTTTT